AATGTGATTTGGAATGTACCTACAAAATAAATAAACAAGATATTTGAAGACACAAAGTTCACCACGAGAGAAGAAGAATTAGACAATAAAACTCCATTCTTAGAAAGTCTTAATCAAGAGAACTAACAAAAGAAATTTAGAAAAACAAGTATACAGAAAATCAACGCACGCAGACCAAATACTCAACTATAGTAGTAATAACTCAATTACCCACAAAGGAAACTGCATGCAGACATTGTTTAAAAGAATTCAAACACACTGTAGCACTCCAGCGTTGAAAAGACTGGAGGAAAAATACCTACTGACTGTCTTCAAAAAGAATGAATACCGGCATAATTTATTCGTTATCATAATTATGTAGAATCAAACAAGAATTGTCTCCATGTAAAATTATATATTTAAATGCGATTGTACAGCTTTTGAAAATGAAATCGCCGAAAAGATATCTTTGCTGAACCTCTTATTCTTCTCCATCAAAAAGTGTTTAAAATCGAGTCACAACACCAACAAGAAACCATTATCAAAGACCACAAGAAAATTCACTCTACCATACATAAAAAATAACTCTGAAGTAAGCGCTAGACTATTAAGACCATTTGAAATAGATATAGCACACAAGCCAGCCAGCCAACACAATCACTTCATTCGATATTGTGCAGACAGAAAGACCCAACCAACAGAAAAAGAGGATAAAACTAATACGATTTATAAAATAAATTGTATGAACTGCAATAAACATTACATTAGTCGTTGGCACAGTCGTTAGGACTCTCGCCGACCATGCACATGGTCCGGAGTTCGATCCCCTGCCGACGCACACCTGATATCTATGGTCGGCCTGGAAAATTTGGGCTACCGATATCACATGCTACGAATTCCATACCTGTACAGGGTGGAATCAAGCTGTAATAAAAAAAATTAGTCAAAGTGGGCGTTCCCTTCATGTCCTAATCGAAGAGGATAAATCATCCGTGAAAAGGCACGATGTGTGTCCCTTTTTCATATTGATGCATGTGGATAATTATGGACATGAATTTGATTTGTATGATGTAGAAATCGTAAATAGAGGAAACACCAAGGAATTACTAGAAGCCTAGTTAGTACTTGCATAAATCAGCGATCAACAGACACATTACTATAGATCACATTTACGAACTGACAAAAAGCAAATCACATGACAAGAAAGCTCAAATTCCAAGTCAATAGAAAATGATCAATGTCAATTGACAATGAATCACGACAATGGTTATCAAGAGATATAATTATATGATCAATCATGGCGAGAATTCAAATAATTTCACTTCATGATTTCATCGTGAGCTGACATTGGTTAGAGAACCATTGTAAAAACCAACCAGGGAGTACTGGGCAGCTGTTTCGTCCCAGTACTCGGGACTCTTCATCAGTACGCAGCCACCTCCAGCGGGGTTGGAACTCAGGACCTTCTAGTTACAAGGCTGGTGAGCTCGTATACCATTAAGCCACTGGGACCCGATCCAATGACCAACCCATGAAATCTAACTTCTGCCAATTCACGACATAGCGCGATCACTAGCCAAAGTCTTCGGTGGTGAGTATTTGTCCTCACACCCGACCTTCTGCACCCTACTGGCCACGACTTCTCACTAGAACCCCAGGCAACTACCTACCTGAATAGGGCATTTCATACTAAAACCTATTCTGAAGGGATGTTGTCTGTCTGTTTCCAACATAGAACTTTGCACCGATGTGCGGCAGTTCAAGTCGCCACACTCCATCCACATAGCACACAAAGCAAGAGAAGAAAGTAGAAGAAATGAATATTAGAGACAGTAAACAGAGGTGTAAGACAAAGGAATAGTAATAACGAAGATTAAAACAGTTTAATTGGAAATCATAAGTCACAAGGAGTGGATGAATCTGTGCCATCATTCAGAACGATTTTGAGCCATATCACCGATTGGCTTCAGCCTTCATTGGTTTTTACCATCCCTAGGACCCCAACTAGTCAGGAAGTCTACACCTTCCTCCATGGCTGGTTGGCTTAAACTAACTGTTGTGGATTTCATTGACTGATGAAGCCATATTTTGGTTTGACCACCGCTAGCTCTTTTCCAACCTGACCCTATGACACCTAACACTGCTCTTCATCGAGCAAGGCGATGACTAGACATACGTAACACATGTCCTAACCATCTCAGTCGATGTAATTTCACAGCCTCGTCTATTGATTTCCCCGCCTTGCCTAGCACTCGACGCCTAACCTGAATATTGCTCACCTTATTATACCACTTCACGCGGGAGATAGAACTCAGACACCTATGATCGAAGACAGCTAATCTTTTCATGTGTTCTACTCTCAATGGCCAGGTCTCACAGCTAGCCATAAAGGAGGACGGAGCGGACTGATGAGCAGTATACACGCCCTTTGGTCGATAGTCGGATATCACGTCTACGCCAGAGACGGTGTAAACTGGCATATGCGATGTTGTCTAGAAGGTGGACAACGAAAGCTGTGTAGTAAAATCTACCAGTTCCTTAGAGAACACAACTAGATCAAAATATCCATCTCATGGAATACAATACCGCAAAAGATGTATTACTTAATCCATAAATCTCCTCTCCATTGTTTCATTTCAAAAAAGTCTAGAATGTGAAACAAGTGATATGCAAAAATAAAGGCATATTGATCGATTATCTTATTGACAACAATCCCACTGTTTTCATTGATTGGTCTTTCTGAATTTATATCTCTAATTCTGATGGATGGATGGATTTTTTTGTATCGTCTGTGTGGAATTTTGAAATTTTTGCTTCTCGTCAATTTTTTTCCCATCGATTAACAGACATGTTAAAATTATAATGATAATAATAGTAAAATGGGATACAACTTTTTCATCAAAATATGAGTTTGCTATGTGTGTCTGTTAACACGTGTATCATTTTCAATTCCTCTAAATCAATAGATGATAGAGAAAGCTTTCTACTCATCGTTATGTGTTCATCAAAATAAATAAGCGCTTGGATTAGATCATCATAAGCAATAGAACGTAGTCGTAGTTATGGCAATCGACTGGCAACCACGACAACATATCGTTAACGAGATAATCAAGGGCTTTTATTCTTTGGGCTAATTTAGACATTCAGTAGTGCGAAAGGTTTCGATTCCCTCTATGGATTGTTTCAAGATAGTTTACTTAACAGATCTGTATTAGAAAGAGAGAGAAGTAGACATGGTCATTGAAAAGCAAGAAGCATTGGACATTGATTTGATCTTTGTTTATGGATTTCCTCTTTCATTGTTATCGATTTTTATCACTATTATTATTATTATTGAAACACAAACTTGATGCATTATTGGTACCAAGAGATGTGCCACACAAAGCCATATAGTTTGTACGTGTAAGGGCTGGGATTCTGCCTGGACACTCAGACCAAATCAGGTGGTTGCCTTAAACAACCCTCCCTCCGGGCCTTTGATATGAGGTCTGATTTACAAGGCAGTGGACCAGCGTCAGGAGCTGCGTTACTATCGTTGACGGTGACCAAAGCAGGTTCATGCGTCATTCGGTCTGTTTGCATTCTGGAGTCCGTGCACACCATAGGTTTGAAATCAGTGTGTTTTAGCCCCCCCCCCCCCTTAGGTGTAGACCAGCATGTCTATCAGTCCGGTTGTAAACGCCAGACATTCGTATTCATCCTTTCACTTTTGTGAGGAACATTCTCCGCCACTTGAAGATAATGATGAAAAAGACTTTCCTAGCACAGTCAGACGCTATGAACGCGTGGCCACACATGAGAGCATTTCGAGAGAAAAATACTGAATTCTACCCACTCTTGGGGCTGTACAACCAGGTGTTATACACTACTAATTGCCTACTGGAATTTACACAAATTTGAATTTTACTATTCTGAACAGCTTATCATAAACTGTTCTTGCTGTAACTTACTGTTAATCTTTGAAAATTGAAATATTTTTCTGCAACTGTTTGGTAATGAACTCGACAGACAAAAAAACCCTCCACTTGCTATTCTACTCTGAGATGAACCTGTCTATCTATCAATCTATCTATCTGTCTTAATAATAATATATTTATTTTGGACATTGTGCGTCGGTGGCATAGCGATTAGGACGCTCACCGACCATGCACGTGGTCCGGGGTTCGATCCCCGGCCGACGCACTCCTTTACCTCGCTAAGCCAGAAATAATGCTGGTGAAGAGGAAAGGTTGGACATGAGGCCAACAACCCCATCCTGTGAAAATAAACACTGCTACAGGAACTTCAAGCCTCTAGCTTGAAGCTCTATGTTCCACTGGGGAACGTGAAGGAAAAAAAATATTCTGGACAGTGTTTCTATTATTTACAGAATTTTGCAAAGGAGTTTAATGCGTGATATTTGTCCTTCGTACAATATTTTCAAATAAAATATTTTAATTAACAGTATTTCCTATGACACAATAGTCTCTGAGCGTGCTGAAGCACAAACCTTCTTCAAGAAATCCACCATATCGATCTATCTAGTTGAAAACCCAGTTTTTGTAAGATGTTCAGAAGTACATTTTGAGACTGAAGGACAAAACTGAAAAAAAACACAATTATCTCATGTATTGGAATATATTGCCACCCACAATCAGGCCTTTCCTCAAGTTTAGTAGGTACCATTGGAGTGTATTGGACTCACCAGTATAAGTAGACAATAGCATCCATATTATTCAAGATTCCTAGAATTTGAAATACATTTTCAAGGTCACATCTTGATAAAATCAATCACATACAGTACAAATTGGAAAAAACTAAACAACACCAAAAGTTACTTACTTACTTGTCAATTGTTACATTCGGTTAGGTTGTACTTATTTGAATTCTTAGATTTGTTATGAAATCTATTCATATATTATAATAATAATAATAATAATAATAATAATAATAATAGTCCATGTGTGTTGTAATGCATACACATCTGTATCTGTGTGCATCTTTTAAATTGATTATTTTGTTGTTATTACATTTTCTAACAGCTTCATTGGATGGTTACGAAGGTAGTATACACTTGTTTGTTCGATTATGATATTGATTTTCTCACCTTTTTTGTTTGTTTTTTTATGGCTTCACTACTTTGTGTGTGTGTGTGTGTGCACTTTCGTTTTGTTTATTAACGCTTTTGATTATTAAATTGAGGTGAAGGTGGCGTTTATAGCTTTTACTTTTTTTGGTTTTTTATCATAGTTTCCTTTTGTTTATGTGTGTGTGCGTGTGTGTGCCATTTGTTTTTCCGGTATCCTGCATTTTTTGTTTGTTTGTTTGTGTGTTCATTGATTATTAGTTGAAGTTGAAGTGTGTTTGTGTGTATTAGAGTGACAAATAGTGTATGTATGTGAAGTTTACATAAAGACAGTAACCAACTTAGCTGTCTGTCTAACTTTAAGTGACCCTTTAGCTAGGTTGCGTCGTGCTTACTGACAGTCATCAGCAAGACGTATCCTACCTTCGACCAACTAACATTAATTCAGTGCAATTTTAAAGCCTCTTAGATATTTAATTGCACTTTAGATTTCCCCGTCGATTGACTGGACTGAAGTGCTCGGTCTCAGGTTGACATGTCTGTTGGCTTCTTTTGCAGATGCTTTGACGATGTCTTGGGCATGTAATGATTAAAATTTAATAAGTGGATGATGACTAGCAGTGGAATTCAGGACAACATGCATTTCGTCCCATTTGGGACTCGTCAGCTTGATGTCTTAGATAGATCATCTGACTACTTGACTGACTGATTCCAGTCAACACATCACTATGGCACTGGTGCTACTACTCCCTCAGTAAAGAATCAATGAAATGACGTACTGTTCTACACTATGGTGCAGTATACTGTGATGTTGGATGTTGCATGAGGAAGAAGCCATTTGTTGATGGTAGGAAGTCTTCGGCTTTGTCTGTATAGTTTGCATTTGTTCTCAACTTTGTTTCAATATATATAAATATAAGTATATATATATATATATATATATATATATATATGAATCTTTTACCTTCGTCCATGAGAATCAGTCAGCAGGGAGAAATAATCAACGTATAATTTGTAATTGCTGTGTGACGGATATACACGAATTTGGACTTTATCGCATATATAGTGACTAAACATGTATTATGTAAAAGAGGTCCAAAGAAGGGGGAGTATATTCTGGGTTTGTTTGATTCTTTTAAGTAAATATGCGCAAATAATACATTCCTGCCTGCGTCAGGTTAGTCCACGGATTGATATCAGTTACAGAACCATTGAAAACTACCAGGGAGTACTGAACAGCTGTTTCGTCCTTGCTTGGGAGTCTTTGTCAGTGCGCACCCATCGGGTCTCGAACCCAGGGGCTTCCGGTTACAAGGCTCGCTATTGACTGGCTACAGGGTGAAGTTCCCTGGAGTTCTAATGAGAAGTCATGAGCAATGGGGGCCATCCAGTCGGGAGTGTGAAGATGAAGTTCCCGCCGATCACATTGGTTGTTGGCCGCGTTAAAATTCACGAATGGGTAGAAGTCAGAATTCATGAGCCGTTGGATAAGGGGCCCAGTGGCTGGATGGTATACGAACTTGCCTTGTAATCAGAAGATCCTGGGTTCGAACAAACTTGGATGAAACAGCTGTCCAGTACTCCCTGGTGGTTTTCAATGGTTCTCTAACTGATATCAATCCATGGTTCAAACCTGAAACAAATAGAATCCCTACAAAAAAACCAATTCTTGAACATTCCTATCTGTTTATCCTAGTGTTGAGCCAAGGTCTCCTGTTGAAATTAATTACTTTTAATGGTTATGTGTAGTCCCCGGACTTTCTATAATGAATATAAATGTATGTATGTATGTAGCAATGTATGTAACTATCTATGGTTATATAATATATAATGTACATATATCAGAGTGTTGGTCTGTTTACAGTGCACCTACCTACCTTCACAAATGCATTTATTGCTTACTTTCACATTTGTTGTGGACTTATGAACTCTATATATTTGCACTATTATAATATTTTCTTTCTCTCGCTTTGATGTGAATACACCTGCGCACACATAGTTTTTGTGTATGTATATAAGTGTTCACAGTATTTTAGACTTCATACACTTATTATGCTTATTATATTTGTCATACAAGACACTGGAATCGATGTTGTTCTTGATCTGATGATGGTGGTGATTATTATTCACCTGTGTGTGCACCTGTTGACTAGCTTAGTTGATTGTATTATTCGTTTCAAAAGTATATTTGAAAGAGAAAGAGAGAGAGAAAAAAAAGAAGACGGAAGAAGGCTGGATGTGATGCACAGTTTGACATTTTCTGGCTATATTAATTTTTTGTCTTCTTTTTTTGTGTGTGTGGCCGTAACCGTAATATATATACGTAATTATTATATTTTATGGCGAAAAGTAGCTATTCATTTTTGTTTATTTATTTTAGTATGCTTCTTTGCTCTTCATCCTTATAGAGCCAAATAAGTGTGTATATTCTTTAAGCATTTAAAAAAGAAATCGATATATCGACTTATTAGACTGTTTATTTTGCAATCAATATACCCACGTGCATATATATATATATATATATATATGTATATATATAGATATATATATGACTTTTGTAATAAAAGATTCTCCACACCTGATTGGTTGGTTTAGATGTAGGCAATTAATCATATGTATTTTCAATTTTGCATATTTTTATTTGACCACTGTAATGCATAAGTGGTTTTTTATACTCACTTATCAGTGAGTTAAAATAAGGATTGAGTTCTACGGTATATGGTTACTGCTTATCATTTAAATATAAAATAAAATGCCTTAAGATAGCAGCTGTCAGAAGATATCAATATTCTTGTTCGTGTGTTTCAGTATTTTTGTCACGATTATCATGAACTTTTGATTTTGATGCATCACAATATATATTCAGGTGTTTGCATATTTTTGTCTTGTTGAATTGTCGGTTTTTTGTGTGTGACTTATTTAGAATTTCAAGTTTGATATGAAATAGAGAGAACCATTGGAAAGCAGCATTAGAGTAGTGGACAGCCAGCTGTGTCATCCTAGTTTAGGGACTTATTGGCAGTACGAACCAACCGCGTTAGGTTCCAAACCATGACCTTCCGGTTACAAGACAAACTTGTAGACCATTCATTATTTTAACTATTGATAAGGACAGTTGTATTGCAGGAACCACTTTTCTGTAAAACATGTCTTCGGTCGTAGTTGTCTGCGTTCTATCTTTTGTTTAAGGTGGTGGTATAATAGGGTGAGGTTAGGCGTCGATTGCTAGATAAGGAGGAGAAATCAATCGACTAGGTTGTGAAGCAGCTGCATCGATTGAGTGAGATGGTTAGGACAAGTGTTACGCATGCGCATACCTAGCTATCGATCGCCTTCCCCAACGACGGGATATGACATAGGATCGATCAGGCTGGAAAAGAACTGCTAGTGGTTGCTGGTCAAACGAATAGATGCGTTCATCAGTCAATGAAATCCATGAGAGTTAGTTTGAACCAGCCAGCCACGTAGGGAGATGTACATTGGCCGTCTGGCTGGCTAGGTAGGGTCCTCGGGATGATAAAAACCAATATTGGCTGTAGAGACAATTAGTGATATGGCTGACAGTCATCGTTCTCGATGATGGCGTAGATGAATTCAGCACTCTTTGTGAGTGATTTGTCATGTCCAATAGAAGTCTATTGTTTTTCCATATCACTCCAATTCTTTCTCCTCATTCACACTTCTGTCTATTATCTCTTTTTTGAATCTGTGTTTAGTCTGTTGTCTTTGTTTGTGTGGTACAGGGAGGGAGTGTGTCGATTTGAGCGGGTGCACATGTGTGCAAACTAGTTCTATGTTGAAACCAGTCAGTCAGTGAAACATGGTATCTGTTAAGTGAAAAGAGTACTTTCAATTGGTATTTTTTTCGGAGGTCGATAAAGTTTCCAACAATATTCTAATCCTCACTATGATCGGGACGATGAAGTTGTTAATTAGCTAACGTTTTACTCTGAAACACTAACTAGGCTTCCTTTTTATACTTCAAGCACTATTAATCTTATTAGATTTCACTACTGCCACCGTTCACAGGATGAACCTTGATGGCATATTCAAGTTTGTTCCCAATGGCACAAATGTAATCGATCTTTGTCATGCATGTTATTGATTTCAAAAGCTTTTCCCAGTCAGTCTTCAGTTATTTTGTCATTTTCATGATATTCACGTTTGTCTATTGTGTTATGACTCTTTCTTCTATCGTATTCTATTTTTGATATGGCACTCTTTTGAACTAATAGCAGTAGTATGTTGTGCAGTGTTTCTTATCGACTCATCAGTTAATAATTACGTCATAGATTTCTGAAAATTTAAAAAATATTAATAATAATAATAACAAGGACGACATGAGTGACAAGCATGCACAAAACGATGACAATAGCAACAATAGGGATTTTAAAACAGCAGCTATACAAAGAGGGATCCTTTGAAACTGTGAATAGAATTATGCAATTCAATTTTAGATTTTCGCGTCGATTGATTGGACCGAAGTGTTCGGTCTCAGGTCGACATGTCGGCTTCTTGTGCAGATGCTTCAACGATGTCTGGGCATGTAATTAGAAGTTAATTGGTGGATGGTGACTGGATGTACCTGCATTCCGAGTTCGAGCACTTCTGTCCAACCAATCGACGGGAAAATCTAAAATTGAATTAAATAATTAATATGCCCCGTTGCATTAAAGGCGGCTCTCGTGACCCAAATGGTCGGTCCAGTGGGTAACGGTTTTGCGTTTGAAACTATGGGCACTGGGTGCGAGCCTCGGTGGGAACATCATCACTCACTGCGGAATGCAGGTACATCCAGATGACGAGTCCCAAATAGGACGAAATACGTGTTGTCCTGGATTCCACTGCTAGTCACCATCCACCAATAGAATTCAATAATTAACAAGAAAAGAATAAAATGGCACTCAAAGCTATAAACTCATTTTTTTTAAAAAAAACAAACAAACAACATTTTGTCGGCTAATAGATACCGTAGAA